TAAGTTGAATTCAAGTCTGAATCACACTAAAGTCGATGTTAGAACATCGCTGAAACTGGCATCGATGTATCGTCAATTTAGCGATTTTAGGAAATTGTAAACATCGATGTTTCAAAAATATCGATGCATCGTTTGCATCCCTATCTATACTGTGCTGCTATCTTTATTGGAATTCGTTTTCGCTATTTTATTTTTCTGTGGATTTTTGTTCTTCCGTGTTAAATATTAAATTATTGGAATATTATAAAAAGTCTCACAAAGAAAAAACAGCGTAGGAATTCTTTGAAAATGACAATGGGTGGAGATACACCAACGTCTTCACTGATTTTTCCAGTATTGCTGAGGCCAATATTCGCCAAGGTTTGTGAGTTTGATGGAGTGGAAATGCAAGTGGAATGTCTCATGCTGCAATTAGATCTGCAGCCAATTTGTATTTCACTGCTAATTCTATCTAATAAATATAAGTTAATTTGTATAATATAATTTTTGCCCTGTCTTGCTTGCAGTTGGAACGCCGAGATGTGGGCGCAGCACAGTCGCTGCGTTCAGCCATAATGAAATGTGAACAAAATAATCCAGGTTTGTGTTATGACCTCGTGGCGGCCATTATACGTCGCGCAGAACTGAATGTTAATCTCAATGAGGCAGTGCTGCGTTTACAAGGCAACATAGCGGATGCGGATCGTAAGTTAAAATAACATTTGAATTGATTCGATTGTTTACTAATTGATTACGTTTTTGCAGTAAATGAATATCGTCTTACAAGAACTGAAGAACCATTCCAAGAATTGAATCGCAAATCGGTTGCGCTCAAAGTTATACTCAGTCGAATTCCAGATGAGATTACCGATCGCAAAGCCTTTTTGGAGACCATTAAGTGCGCATAAGTTAAAATAAGTATATTCTCAAAACACTAATTTGTTTATTTTACTGATATTTTAGAGAAATCGCCAGCGCAATAAAAAAGCTACTAGATGTCGTTAATGAAATTGGCTCGTTTATACCCGGTGTCACAGGCAAACAAGCTGTCGAGCAGCGCAAAAAGGAATTTGTAAAATACTCCAAAAAGTTCAGCACAACGTTAAAAGAGTATTTTAAAGAAGGACAGTAAGTATTATTGTACAAGTTGATTGACGAACAATCAGAAATGTTTATTGTATAAAACGTTATTAGCTATTATTATTTAAATACTTAATTCTTATCAAATTTTATGAGTGCATGTAGGAGCGCTTATCGAGCAAATTATGATGTCATCACAAGGCACATTGACTGCCCTTATTAGATATGTACATACACTGGCGACCAAAACCGAGTGCATGCAAGTAATAAAATTGTGTTGTTGTTGTAGTAGCTGCTACAACAACAAAACCAAAAACAGCATTTTATTACAGTAGCATTTTTTTAATAATAAGCGGATTGCTTTGCAATTTTCAGAAATTGGTCTTCACTATCCAATAAATAAAACCTAGTATACAGAAAAGCTATTCTTTAACAAGAAACAAGCGATTCACAGCAAAAACGTGAGGCAACTGTATTCACTAAGTTTTGAAATTTCCTGTTTTGAGATTTTTGAAGGTTGATACCAACAGGATTGTGGAGACTTCCTTGCTTTTAATTGCGATACGTCCGAGGATGCTCTCTACTGAGTTTTCTATAATTTCGCTTGGAATATTAACCCATTCTAATTTTACTCGCATCCAAAGCTCTTCCGATTTACCCGGAGCTTACCCGTGCTATTACAATCCTCTCTTGACCACAGTGCAAAATTTTTCGATGGCGTTGGCCACGGCATTACGTGAAAATTTTGCTCAAACAGCCGGTGGTGTCGAATGTTTTCAAAATTCTTTGGATCTCGTTCCTACTGGCAAACAACTTCTTCCCCAGGGTATGCGCTTTTGTCTCCAAAGTTCAGAAAATTTGTTTGGAGAATATTGAGATAGACTTGCTGCTTCATTGTTCCTTTAATTTTAACTAACGGCACCAAGTAAAACACCCCCCCAAAAGATTCGACACCACTAGCTGCTTGAGAAAAATTTTCACGTAATGCAGGGGTCAGCACAAAGTCCAGATCTCAACGCCATCGAACAATTTTGTATTAATTGTAAGCGAATGTTGGTTAATGCAAAGAATAAATTGTAATATAATTTTCAAATTGAAT